CAATACACAAAAGCAACTCAGTATTTACTTATGTAAAATGATTGCTCAATTCTCAAAGTTGCATATCAAGTACTGTGTAAAAATTTCATGAAAATTTACATACATACCACTTTATAACATCCTATTTACATATCTAACACTCAATACTTTAATATTACGTACATACCACCATATACTATTATAATATCAAATATGTCTATCATATTTCATTCCTATCACTCATATATTTCATTTCTACCACTCATATTTGATATAAAAATGAACTATGAGTGGTATGTATGTAATATTAAAGTTTTAGATGTTAAATATGTAAATAAAATAGTATAGAGTGGTTTTCTCAAAATTTTAATCCAAAAATTATATAAATTTATAATATTTTGAGCTCTACGATGAGGCCAGCCACGAGCAACTCATTTATCATCGATATGTGAACATTTATTTTCTGCTACTCACATAATGAAGTTATATTATCGATAAAGTTAATTTACTTGCTATCTCTCATATCTTCTAGTCTCATTTTACATATATGCACCATAATATTTATAATATCTTGTTATCATCTTTACAAAAATTGTGATAATTCATTAATGATACCAAGTACATCTTTCAGCAGATGTAGGCCAAAAAAATTCAAAGGTCTATAACGATTCTAATAATACATACGCATTGCCTTTTTATTCTGAGCTTACACCATCTTCCAAAATAATTTTTAGAATATCAATTAATATAGAGAACATTATGATTAGCCTTATAATTGATTCATAATGTGAACCTCACAGCGTATCGTCTGCATGTCTAAGGGTTATTTCTTAATTAAGTCACGCTCAAGTAAACAAGTTTTTCTCTTTGTAATTCATTTAATGCATTCTCGTGTTGTAGTTCTCAGAGTTGATCATGACGCTTACAAGAAATACCAACAAGATTCATCACACTCAAAATTATAGCAAAGAGCAAAGCAATTTGAACATGATTTTTCGCAACTACCACCGATGCTAATTGCAGTTGATGTGAGAAGCAATTAATGTAATGTGTTGATTTATTTTTATTTAGCAATAGAGCTTTTAGACTAGTAAACTCTCTTCTCATATTGCTAGCATCATCATAGCCTTGACCCTGTATTCTAAAAATGCTCAAACCATATGTTGATATGAATTATTTAATTGCTATTTTTAGACTATTGACATTTGTATTTGGCACATTAGAAATTTCCAAAAAAATGTTCTACTATATCATCTTTTTTGTCAACAAAATAAACTACTGTTGCAATTTGCTCTTTAGCATATATGTCATGTAATTCATCAATTAAATTTGAGAAAAACTTATCTCCAATCTCCTCATATATGAAGTTTGTGGTTGCAATAGCGAATACTTTTGTAATATATTTCTAAATATCAGGTGCTAAATATTAATTTTAAATTCTTAGGAGCATTTTTTAGCACCACAACTTATATGTCTTTGTTAAGGTCAGCAAGAAAGTATAATAGTTCGAGAAAATTACCCTAATTTTTGGTTATATTAGACTCATTATATCCTCAGAAAGCTAGACCTTGTCTCAAAAGAAATATTATGCAATCAACGAAAGTATTGAGGCAAGTACGATATTCAATTGTAAAGTGATCTTATTTCTTTTGGAAAACAAATCCATATGGTGACTCTGTTTCATTATGTATTCAATATTTTGTCTATCATTATTATGGGTACTATTATGGCTTTCAACATAAAGATCAAATTTATTTGTTTTGTTCTAATTTAAAAATTTATTTTTATTAAATATATCTTCCTCTTCGTTGCCTCTACTGGATATTTTGAGATGATAACAAAATAGGCAATATACTTTATCTTTATATATGTTATACTCTAACCAATCAAAGTATTTGTCCACATTTATTTTTCAAAAAGTCATGACTACGATGTTAAAAGGGCCCTCTTTGTAATTATGTTATACGAAGTACTTCATCTCGAATGTTAGGATTAAAGTCAGTAATAGAAATTCATAATCATTTATCACATTGAAGATTTTCTATATTTATTTCCATATTTTTTTGTAAATTAACATCCACTCGAATGCGTTTTTTATTTTTCTCTTCAACCTTATTGTTATTTGCATCCATATTATTTGATATTTTTAAAATCGAAGATCATTTTAAAGATCATTTGAAATATCTTTCCATAATGTTCAAACAAGATATCTATAATCTACTGTTATTATGTTAAGATATAAAATTAAGTCTTCAAAACGCAATAGCACATTCAAACAACTTAACAAGAACTATAAAGAAAAAAAAACTTTAATAGATTTCTCATTTGCTCTAAATCAACATTTTCTCATTTCTGTAAACTGAAATCATCAAAAAAAAAAAAAACTTTTTTACCTCTCGCAACTATGGGCTGATCGACCTAATACACGGAAGAGAACTCCATCGCCATTGGAAAAAGCACGGAAGAGAGCTCATTGGCACGTTCGATGTCGCCGATCATCGTTTGGCCTCATGAAGTCATTTTCTTTAGGTGCAATCGCACGCTTAAGGGCAGTGGAATGTCGCAAAACGCAAAGAGCGGAAGAGTCGGGAGACGGGAAGAGTATTCGGGTGAGAGGAAAAACAATGAACCGGTTAGTTAGGGCATAAAATAAAACGGAGAACTGTTCGGATTCTGTGAGTATGCGCAATAAAATTGTGCACACTCACATAATCCAGATGCAATTCCGGCCGTATTCCGCACGTGATAATCTCTCTCCCCTTACACCTTCATTAATTAAATTTGAGATATTTACATTCATATTTTACATTTTTTATGTACTTATTACATCTATACTATTTTTAATATCATAAATACTCTGCTGCCTTAGCTCAGGCATCGTTCTCAATCGCAGAATTACAAGGAGGATAACATTCTATTTGTAATCTGTCCAGCTTGAATCTTATTCAGCATTGTCAAAAATAAATAAAATAAGTTTGCCTAACAAACACCAATTTCTTAGCGGCTACTGAAAGAAAACCCACCACTCCACTCCGAGAGATCACAATCCCAAAGTCGTCACTCTCATTAAGATAAGTCTGTAGACTCTTTTTTTTTTTTGGAACTTTGAACTCCACGCTATGTTCTCGTAAATCAGCTAAAACTACTTTACGAAGAGATAAGAGTTGACTCTTAGGAGGACAAAATACAATTACATATTTCTCTGTCAATTAATAATTTAGTGCTAATGGCTGGCCTACATATGCTTGAAAATTCTAACAGGATGGCTGGGCTTTTCTCTTTCTCCCTTAATTTTCAACAATTTACAGCTCTACTTGATCTCATTATTAAGCAGAAAATACTTATTGGAGGCACGCTATCTGAGAAGCCGCTTGTATTCTTTGACAGGTTGTTGTCCTATAAGAACTATTAGTGCGTTGAATTTCATATGGCTGGCTATTCATGACAAGAGAATCTTAAAAATCACCGCATAATATCGTTGCAGTGCATTACAATCATAGCGGGCGTCCATTGATTTTAAAACCGCTGCTAGCAAATTTGTGGCATGTAAAACCATCGGAAAATGTTTAAATTTGTGTTGCGATAGCCTTGTTTTTTATAGTGAGTATAAAAAAATAGAAGCTCAATATTAATGGACTTCAATGAGTAAGAAATTTATACTTAGTATTATTAATCTTATCTTATTCTTTTTGAATTGATTTTATAAGTGATCTCTCTTCGTCATTTATTTATTTATTTTGGTTGGATATTAATATGTATTTTACAGATGCTGAACAATATCTTTTTTTTTTTTTCTATTCATGTTTCTTTCTGACATTTTTTATATTAGCGTTATCTATTAGGTTTCTTTAATTTATTTGATAAACAAAATAAAATTGCTGCCGGCTATTAAAGATTTAAAAAGCAAAAAATAGTTTTTTATTAGATTCAGCTTGAAGTTATATCTCAATAATGATTATTTTATTAATAGTTAAGTAAAGTGGTTGTGGGCTAAAATATTTGCGTTGATAAAGTATTAAATTTGACATCTTAACGATGCACGAGTATCCAGCTCATAAACAGAGCGAGTAGAAACACCAGAAATTTTTACGAGGAAATCCCTGAAGGGCAAAATCACGGGTCATGCCCAATTGAAATGAATCCATTATTGTTTGAATATAGTACAAATGATTGTTTTGTCGTTTAACTTGACGACGATCAGATTACAATAGTCAATCGTCGAGTTCAAATCTAGAGATGAACAGAGATCAGATGGAAGTCCGACGACGATCGATGGTCGAGTGTCACGTTTGAAAATCATTTGGTCATCTAATTTATGCTCGAAACTTTCAAATGTGCTTTGGGTCTTTGATTTGTACCCATTTGGGCTCGTATTGAGTTGAATTCTCTGTCGTTGGGTTCGTCTTTTCGAGATGTTCAGTTCAACTATAAGTTTGCTGAAATCGGAGTTCAGATGATCCCCGATTTAATTTCAGAAGTTTTCAACTCAAAATTTTCTCGAGTTTTATGCCCGATCAAAATTTATTTTTGATCATATATCAAATCTTTTTATGACATATGTGACTATTATATCTAAATTCAACCTCTACAAATGGAACGACCCAAAAAATAAGCAAATTTATTTAATTACTAAAAATTCAAATAATTAGCATTATTTCATGAAGTTCCATCAAATCGAATTTACTGGATAGTATAGCATTTGATTGAAAATTATCTGTGGAAAATAATCAATCATTTGATTGGAAAATCAAATACATAGGCACGCCAAGAATAACACTCCACGTTCAAAACGCCAGAAAACAACACATTAATTTATTCCAATAGATATTGTTAGACGAATATGCCCATAAACTTCATTAACAGACAATTTCGAACTTCCAAAGTCGCCGGCTAAGTCAAGAGCAATGAGGTAACAGCCATAAAACAATCAATAAAGCCACTATCATAACAAAGAAAAATGCTTCCACATTGTCGTTTTTGTGAGCAGCAATTATTGCAAAAATATCAAAGCGACCGACAAATACTTGGGCAATATTTCATACATCTAAATGCCTAAGCACATACATCCAAATCCCTAATCATCAAGAGAAAGATATATTGATATATTTCCACATTAAGGGGAAAAAAAACTACATTAACCCACTCCCAAGAGTTGGGAAGCAAACAGAGCATACAGACATTTTTGTAAATTGTACCCAAGAAAAATTAGAAAAATGAAAACTTGATTTTTTTTTTTGTGGTACTGTCATTAAGTTCCCGTCTTACTTCAATCCAAACGCCGGTGATCATACGGTAGCAACAGCGGCGGCGCCGCCACCCTTTTTACCGTTTGTCAACTCAAGCTTGGATCCGACGTGAATATCTTCGTCGGCGATGAACCGGCCCCAAAACCAGTGCCCCTTCCAGACCAGCACCATCTCCTCAATAGGCACCCCTTTCGTTTCCGGCACAAAGAAAGCTACGAAGATGGTCATTAGCACCACCCAGCCACCGAAGAAATAGAAAAGCCCAAATTTGAGCCTGCAAAGCAGAGCAAGGAATGCCTGCGCGATGACGAAGGTGAAGAGCATGTTAACCGATACTGTAATACTCTGCCCGGCTGACCGAATCTCCAGCGGGAAAATCTCCGACGGCACAAGCCACCCAAGCGGCCCCCACGACCACGCGAACCCGGCGACATAGATGCAGATAAAAGCCACCACGGCGCCTGCGTAAGTATGCGAGAGGTGTCCCTCCCCAGAAGTTCCAAACTTTATTGCAATAAGCGTGCCAACGATTACTTGGCAAACGATCATTTGAACACCGCCCTGCAAGAAGAGCTTGCGTCGGCCGAGCTTGTCGACGGTGAAGATGGAGACGAAGGTAGCAAAGACGTTGACGAGGCCGGTGATGACAGCCGACATAAGCGAAGCGTCGTTGCCAAAGCCGAGAGTTTTGAACAAAACAGGGGCGTAGAACATGATGACGTTGATGCCGGTGACCTGTTGGAAGAAGGGGATGAGGATGGCCATGGTGAGTTGAGGCCGGTAACGGCTTTGAACGATGTTGCGCCATGGATGTCTGACTGTTTTGGACTCATCGCTGGCGGCTTTGAGGTCGGCGTACTCGTCGAGAATGTCGTCGGTGCCGCGAATTTTGCAGAGCATGGACCGAGCTTTCTCATCGTGCCCGCGTTCGATAAGAGAGTTAGGAGTGTCGGGGAGAAAGAGGGAGCCGAGGGTGATGATGCCGGCGGGAACGGCGGCAAGGGCGAGGCTGACTCGCCAACCCCAGCCGCCTTTGATTTTGGCCGTGCCGTAATTGATGAGATTGGCGGCTAGGATACCGATTGTGATCATGAGTTGGAAGCCGATGTTGAGCATGCCGCGAAGTTTCGCCGGTGCCATCTCCGACAGGTACACCGGCACAGACTGTACATTTCAAATATCGTTAACGCCATTCAGCAAGGTAAAATTATTAAAAAAAATGCAGTCAAATCATTACAAACTGCTATTAGAATTTTCTTATGCCACAAGATAAAGTTTTCAAATTTACAAAAAAAAATAATTTTATCTTAATCATGACTCTTATAACTAAAAAAAAGAATTACAATCCAATTAAAATGCCTAACATCCCCAAAAATAACTATATATCTTCATCTAGAACTAATATTTAGGTGAGGAACTAATATTATGACAGTAAGATAATAAACTATTACTTCTTTTTTCTGATTTTTTTCTAATTGTAATAACAGAATCTTCGAATTGGACTTTTTTTCTTCCAATTATCGTTACTGATTGCTTGATAAAAGGTTTAAAATGAGAAAAGATAGATGGTGACAAGATTCCATATATATGGAAGGTGAGAATATTCCACATCAAGGAAATCTTAAAAAAAAAATTTAAGCTTTTTATATTAGGATTAACTTCAAAATCTTTAAATTTTCTTTAAAATTAGTATCAAATATAATATCGAATTATTATATTAAGCTTAATATAAATTCAAAATTTCTGACCCAAGGTCTTACTCCTAAGCTGAACAATTAAGCAACCACCAGTACAATAAACCGTAAATTTTACTTAATCAAACACAAGCAAGGCAAGTAATATTATTTAATAGCAAGATTAAATAAATGAAGTCGATATATAAATTTAATATGAGAGATATTTAATTTTAAGATCTTGATAAGAATTTTAAAATACTAATCAATTAAATTAATAAGCTCCCACACACAGTTGTGGTTAGACAATGCGTCGCGTTTACACCGAGAACTAAGACTTTTTAGTTTATTTATATAAAGATTCTGACGCAAGTGGAGGGCGACACCCTAACTACTCCAAACTTAAACAAAGGACTTCAATTATGATCACTATTTGCTTGGAAGAAAAATAGCATAAGTAGACTGACAAAATCGCATAGCAGAGCGAGGCTGAAATCAGAAAACAGAGCACTTATGAAATTTTTTGCCCTAAAATATAATCGAAATGATTGAACATAAATGAAAAATAACATGTCAAAAGTTTAATCAATATAGAATTATTTTTTAAGAGGGGAAAATATGTTTGGCGGGCAACCTGGTTGGCGAATCCGACACCGATTCCGAGAAGGATTCGACCGACAATAAGCATGGCAACGTTCTTGGCCGCGCCATTAAGAGCGGCGCCGACGAGGAAGGTGACGCCGCCGCCGAACATGGACCACTTCCGGCCGAACACCCGCGTCACTGTCGACGCTAAGAAGGAAGCGATGAGCGCCGCGAGGTAAAGCGAAGAAGTGAACGTTGTGAGAAGCTGGGAATCGAACTTGCAGTACTGATTCGTGCTCGTATCTTGCTTTTCCTTACGGAATACCGCCGGGAAAAATTTTCTCAGAAATGAATCCATCGATGTCACTCCACCTTCAATCCATCATCCAATACAGAGAATCATTGATCCATAGGAGAGAATCCCCCATAAAAATGGATGAATTGGAGATTTTATGAGATGGATTTTCTTACCAGAGATCCCTATGTCGTAGCCGAAGATGAGGCCTCCGGTAGCTGCCACGAGGCATGTGAGGAAGACGAACAAAGTCATGTTCCCCGGATATTCCTTTCCATCGCCGCGAGCGTTAACGATCGCTCCTCCGGCCATCACCGCGAAACACCGAGGTGGAGAAAAAGAGACTGTTCTCAGAGGGAGAAAATCAGAAGGGGCAGTGCATACATAGAGAATGAGAGAAGAGTGGAGATAGGAAGCGGAAAGGGTTGAGATGGTGGAATTTATAAGGGTTGACAGGATGGGTTCCCCGTTGGGTGAGAAATTGGGTGTGAATTGGGCATTTGTTATTATTCTTATTATTATTATTTTCTAAATTTTTTTATAAGAAAAAAGGAACAAGCTGCCATGCTTAACGCCGATTTATGGGATCGGTTTTACACGTTCTAAATTATAAAAAAAAAAAGAAAAAATGTTCTTTGTAAAAAAATTTGTTAAAATATTATGATAAATTTTGTTAAAATCAATTTTTAATTAGTAAAACTGATTTTTAAAAATATAATGAAGATAAATATAATAATTTAATTTAATCATTTTATAATAAATGACGCTATTTACTTCACGATTTCTTCAACATCCTATGTATGATTTCAAGAAATATTTTTCACAGAAAATTTGAAAGGAGTCTTCACTGCTCTGTCATTTTATTATGTAGTATTGATTAACGCTATGGATGACTTCTGATATGAATCTTTCATATCCAAGCGTTGTTTTGAAGGAATTTTCATGAATGTCATATTTTGATATACACTTTGAACCAAAAATAATTATTTAATTCTATATTATTTATGAAAGATAGGTCGACTAGGGATCCAAAACAAAGGAAGATGGGATATATATAAGGTTTAAAATTCTTTTGTTTGGCTGAGTTACCGTTGGCCAATTGACCCCTGGCTTGGATTTATTATTCTATGCGGAGTGCGGACGACACCCGGAGACTAATAAAAATGTGCCACGTCACTTTATTGGAGGGTATCCAGCTCGGTACCCGCACTCGGTACCGCTGGGTATCCAGTGCTTAACCGGACGGTTCTCCCGTCCGATGTCCGTATAGAATAAAAGTAAGAGATAATTAGGAAATCTTAAGCAAAGAACAAGACAAACTAAGCTAAGAGATAATTAGGAAATATTAAGCGCAAAAGTTTTACATAATTATGATGAAAAAATAATATATGATGAAAGTAAAAGAATAATATAATGATATATTGCATATGTCTAGCTAGTCATAAATTACAATTATCCATTAGATATAAATCAGATAAGTTTCAAATTGAGGGTGAGTAGTATGTACACAAGTGGAAAGTTTTCAGAGCAAATAGTTTTACAAAGTAATTGACTTCATCGGTCTTCATATGAGCATGTTAACTCAATAAAGAGGTTTAAGTAACAATTATCTCATGGGCAATAAGACATGAATGGGTTCTAGCAGCTCTAGGCCTTACATGATTTAGGCTTTGCGAGTTTAGAGTTTTAAGAGGTTCTAGCCTATTCATGATTAGCTTCTTGCTATGGTGCTCAATTCAACCTCTTGTGATAACTTGATGAACTTGACCGTAATGAATATGAATGTATATAAACCTCCCATTTTTTATGTGCCTTCCCGAAAGAGTAAGTGAATGAATCAAATTTTTCCTTAAACTTGCAATTTTGCATTAAGCCAAAAACTCCAAAATTGATGGAACTATGTGTGTAGACCTATCTATTTTCCTTCAATAAAAATAAAAAGGAGGAAGGAGGTTTTCACTATTTCAATTTTTCACAAAAAAAGTTACAAATAAAAGTAAATTTGACACAAAAATCATCGACTCTATTAGTTTGCCTTGATTTGTGGCAGAAGAAGAGTAGAAGAGAATTAATCCTAGATATGCTAGACATGATCTAGAGAACAATTGTTCTTAAGCTAGCTTAGATCATTGATGTTGGACATATTAACAACTAATGTTGTAAATGTGTGGCTTAGTGTTTTTCTTTTCACAATTTACATTCTATATCACTTTTCTTGCTCTACAATCACATTTGAACCCCTTATCTCTTAGCTTGAAACACATGTAACCATTCAAAGATTAATATAGTTCGTGGTCTCTCCTGAACTTTGTGTTTAGTTCTTTTTCAAACTTTTTGGTGATTATTGATCAATTTATTCCATATGATAGAATCATAAAAATACGTTGAAAATAGACAAAGAAAACTTAATCAGTCAGCTTTAGCAGCAAGAGATAGGATACTTACTAGAACAAAAGACAAACAATAAGAGTTGCAAGTTTAGAATTTAAGTGAATTAATCATATAAAGCTCATGCACACATCCATTCCTATAGAAAAATAAATTTGATAAAAGAGTCCGGCAATGTTGTAGGTACTCAAATTCTAGACTTGCAATTCCTATTGCTTGTCTTTTCTCCTAGTATTTTCTATCTCTTGCTGCTAAAGCAGACTAACAAAGCTTTTTTTTTTTTCTCTATCTTTTCAATGTATTTACATACATGATTGTATCATATAGAATAAGCTGATTAGTAATCACCAAAAAATTTGGTAAACAACAAAATATATAGTCCATGAGACCACCAATTATATTAATCTTTGAATGAGCTACATGTGCTCGAAGCTAAGAGATATAGAACATAATTATATCTATAATTATAATGTACGATAATGTGTCACTTGTTGCCCTTTGACATAATATATAATTATAATTTTATTCTTTCAAGCTCTTTTAATAATTATCACAAAATTTACTTATTTTTTATATTTAAGCATAATATATAATACTTAAATAGTGATTAATTTTTAATATAAATACAATAACATTAAAATTATTTATTTGACAACAAATATGAATTTAATAATTTTATATTTGAAAATTTAATTAATATATGATGGACATAAAAATTATATTTTTCATAATTCAAATTTTAAGAATACAAAATTTAATTTCTATATTCCAAAATTTTAAAAATTCAATTTCCGTATTAAATCAGATTTTCGTATTAGCTCCTCATAATTTCATCTGCATTCATATTTTTTTGCTTAATCTTTTATTACGTACGCTCCTTCTTATAAATTTCTCTAAAAAAATATTGAAGTTATGTACTTGCCCAGCCTGTCTCCCCCAAGAGATTGTTACATGCGGAGACTAGGCTCAGAGAACCGTTCGATTTCTGTGAACAGTAAAAAGGCAGTGGTGAACAGCAAAATCACAGTTTATTGCACTTTTACTGTTCACAGAGACAAATTGGATGATTCTCTGTGTTTGTTCTCCTAACGTAATAATTTATCTTCTCTAACATAGTTCTTCCCCTATAAGACTATAATCATACATATTTGTTGAAAACAATTTAGAGACGTCTATAAATATTCATGCCTATTTTTTAAGCGGTCATACACTCTAAGAAAATAATCACAGTATTGGAAAAAATTAGAGAAAATGACATGAAAAAAAAATATCATATCAACAAACAAGTAATATATGTTATTAAGAAAATAAATAAATAGATAAATAATGAAAATATTTTGAGAAAATATCAATAAAAAATTATTTTAGGAGCAATGCTACACTCTTTAAAAAAATTCACAGTTAAACTCTACATTTATTTTGTGTTGTTGTTGTAACTTAGGTGGTCTAATTAAATTGAGTTAGACTACCAAATAATTTTGTATTGGTTAGTCTATACAAATAATTTGAATCAAAGAAAGGGGATATAGGATCAAGCTCAAGAGAATTTTGCTCAATTCAAATTCAAAATTAATTTTGTATTAATTAGATTCATTCAAACTGGGCTAGGCCCCGTGGTTTTTCCCCCCTTTTCAGGGGTTTTCCACGTAAAAACTTTGGTGTCTCTTATGAACGCTACACCCTCTCACTTATCTGATTGTGTGCTGGATCTTCGTACAACGCTAAGACGTTAAACTATATATTTCTCTACCGCCGCGAATATTCCAGGACGCAACAATTATGAAGCCAAATTTCTACAAAAATATTTAAAAGTATTCGAATTTTATTTTTATTTTTAGCAATCTTAAAGTTAAATTTGAATTTATATGAGGAACCCAGCTTTGTTCCTATTTTAGCTATGTCCATTGATTTCAGGCTGAACCATCTAAATATTGTGATTTTGCTCGTTTAACGAAATCTTATTGGCGGCCCAAGCCCGTCTGCGCGACTGGTCTTTTTAAATTTTATTATTCAATTAGCTTAATCATTTAAAAGCTAAATTTATATTTTAATGTAAATTTATTGTGAAAAACTTTAGTACATAAAATTCCTATCAAGGCTTCTTTTGGAACATCTTATTTTTTAAAAATAACAAGAAAATAGTAAAAAATGATAGTCAAATAAAATTATGGTTATTGTCTGAAAAACAAACCAGCTAAAAAGTTGTCCCAAAAAGACCCTTAAATTTGAAATAAAAACTTTTTGCTTTATTTGAGACTAATTTCTTAGTGCTTATTAAAGAAGTTTTTTTAAATGAAAAGTATCTTTAAGAAACAGTAAGAAAACCGTCACAAATGAAGTCTTAGATTTCGATTTGATTCATTTGAATCATGATGAAAAATGATCAATTTTGAATTGACCTTTCAAATCAATTTGAGTCATCCTAACCAACTTAATAGAAAGTTTCTAATTTTAATTAAATTTTAATTTATGTAAAATTATAGATATAAAAATTCATACAAATAATTAATAATTTGTCTGCATATATTTGCTATTATCTAAGATGGCAAATCTTTTTATATGGAAAGGTTCACTACCTACACAATTAATTATATATATATATATTTTCATTCAAATGCAAGATGAAAATAATTGATGCTTTGGATGAGTCAAACCTCTGACATTTTCTTTTGAGATAAATGACAATAATGCTTCATGATATAAAAACTTGCTTCCGTCAGGTGTTTGATGATATATTTATTGATATTTATATGTAATTTGAGAATTGCTTGGTTTTAATCATTTTGTGAGAGCATTTGTTCAGTGTTCAAACTTGATGAAGAAACAAATGGCTTGCAATGATCCTTACTAAAAAATACTATTCTACATAAGTTTTTTATTTTTTATTTAATGCAAATCCCATAAGATTAACTATTTTTTTCCCTTAAGTTCGACAAAAAAAATGCATTTATTTTAAGTTATATTATAATTCCTCAATTTTAATCTTACATCATGATATATCAAAATTTATCATGAGCGGGCACGAATCTCA